CCCCAAAACCCCAAAACCCCAAAACCCCAAAACCCCAAAACCCCAAAACCCCAAAACCCCTTTTAGGAAGGAAATATAGAAACTAAATAAAGTATTTTAGAAATAAAATGGATTCATTAGAAGAGACCAGGAAAAGTAAGTAATCCAGCTAGGAACCCTCGTATTAGTTCTTATCATAATTCTCCAGTCAGAAGGAAAAGAGGATTACTGTTCCGAGAATTTCTAAGGGGTTCTGGACCTCACCCTCATGTTGTTAGGAAATGGGAGATATTACTTAAAGTCGTTCTATACGTTATGGTGGCACTATGTTTCTTCAGTGATTTATTTGGAGTCTTACTAAAACAAGAAGGAGCTCTACTTTCTGTGTTTTAATAAACTTAGAAGTCAATCGTAATTAAATTAGAGATACTGGCTTACCGCTTCATTTTGAATTCTTAATTTTTGATACGATACTGATCAACGAAGAGAGGAATAAGGTGTTCAAAAGCGCTTTATGGCGCACAAATTTCTTGAAAGTTTAATTTTTGTATAGGGCTTGCTTCCAAGCTTCATCGAAAGGGACATAAATACATGAAGTATTTAACGAAAAATTTGAGTGTAAAGAAATCAGTAAAAGACAACAAATCCAAGGAATATGAATTTGGAAAAGAGCATAGAGACCAAGGAAATCCCCAATGCTCATATCTCAAAGAGAACATAGATCTAAGCACAAATATGGTACTAACAAATCAGGCAAATTTATCCAAAGAAGATAGTTTCAAAGTAAGAAATTTCGATATTTTTTCTGAAACTCAAACCCAGTATAAAAACTTCCTAACTTCTTTGCTATAGTCCAACTTCCCAAGATTTGGAAAGAGTTATGATCGAATAGATATAGTAAGCAACTCTTGAGCATTTATAAAAATACCAGTTACACCAATTCATTCTAATTTTTAGAAATAAACTGAAATCTATAAATAATCAGTGAAACCCTGTCCAGGAAATGATCAACACAAAATTTGGATACTCAGCTAAGAAGAATCTTAATGAAAGTATAAAAAGAATGAACTGCATCCAGAAGCGATCGATTTCTACTAAGAGAAAACACTCTTCTAAAAAGAAGGGCAGGCTAGGAGCAAACTATTACCTCTTTCCTCAGAAAATGAGACCAATCAGAAAGAAGGACTTCAAAGGTTCTTCAGAGAAAAATATTCAGTCTTCAAAACATCAGATGAGGGAACTGAGGAGAAAAAGCAAGGCTATTGGTACCAATAATAAGTTCCACAGTAGGAACGACAAGGTAAAAAGCTGCACTAAAGATACCTATGGAGCGAGCACTTATTACAAAAGTATTTTGATATTTTAATGTGTATAGATTCTATTTACACACTGCAATCTTCTCACAATGACCATTCTGCTTCACGTATGTCTCTTCAGTCTAAATTCTAGTCAACAGGAGCAAAAGCAAGAGCAAAAGCTTAAGTACCTTCTCTGTTTTCCAGTGCAAGAACCTTAAAATACATTCTAAAGACAAGATCAAAAGTACGAGAAAAGAGTTCAATCCTGACTACCATCAGATGGCTGCCAGGCACTATATCAAGATAGAATTAAAACCTCCAGTAAGTTTCAAAAATAAATGATAGGTGAAGAAGCATAAAGACAGCACAACTAGAGATGCTATCTGCAAATTTAACTCACAAAGAGGGTATACTCAGTTCCTTAATCACTTTAGTAAAAGCTCAGACATCCATCAAGCTAAATACAGGAAAAACAAGGCTGAGCACCCAGCTTCGAGGAAACTAAGCATTCAGAAAAGAGCTAGGTGTGAGACGACTCCTCTTACACAGGATAAAAGTAACTATCTGTGGAGTAATTTTGTAGTGAAAAATCCTTACATCAATGATAACCAGAAAATCAGTTCCTTCTCCGCCATTTTCGCTCCTTGTTCCAAAGACCAGCATCTAAACTAATTTTTCCCAGAAATTTTCCATTCTCTTATATCTGTTCTGGGGTTCTAAGAGGAATACACAAGCAACAGGTTTGTTTAAAGGCTACAACCTTACTGATTATTTAGTTTGTTTAGTAGTTATCGATTCGAGCATATAAAATCAGGCACTCTCTACAATAAGCCCAATTTAAATTAACTTCACTATGTTCAATTATCTCAGCAATATGGGGTTTTGGGGTTTTGGGGTTTTGGGGTTTTGGGG